ACTCATATTCCAAGAAATGGATTTTATACGAATTTTTAAAACTTAATCGGCGAAAATTGCAAAATTCGAAAAAATTGTTGATCATTTCAAAAATTTATTTCTTAAAAACTAAAAGCGATTTTTCAAAACGTCTTGTTGCATTAAAAAGAGGATAATTTAATTAATAATTGGTGATTTTTCCACAAGAATCCTTCAAGAAATAAATTTGATAGCGAATTTTGAAAATTATCGATAAAAATTGCAACATCGAAAATTTGATCAAAACTTCAAATATTGTTTTCTCAAAAACTAAAAGTTATTTTTCAAAACGGATTGATTCATTGGAAAGAGGGCACTCTTATTAACACTTTGGAAAATTTTTCATACTCATATTCCAAGAACTAGATTTTATACGAATTCGACAAAATTGTCGATCATTTCAAAAATTTATTTCTCAAGAACTGAAAGTGATTTTTCAAAATGGCTTTTTGGATTAAGAAGAGGATACTTTAATTAATATTCGAATAATATATCGTAGTGGGATTGTATTCAATGAAAAAAGTGTTATTGGGGTTAAACTTGATTATTATCTGCAGTGTCCAACATCTAAAAGAGATACTAATTGATGTGAATGGGGGAGTACTAAGTAATAGGTTTTTAATATCCGGTATCCGACCGGATATCCGTTCCATCACTACTGTATACTTAAAGACCAACCAATTAGCTGTATGACCCTGTACAGGAGCTACTTCAATACCATTAAATTTACATAACACACCATCATCGATAGGTTATAAAATAAATTTTTATTAAGATTCACAATTGACTGTTATTACATAATGGTAATAAACAAGATAATTATAAGAAAAATACATTCTAAAACCTTCAACTTAACAAGTATCTTTTTATTAAAAAAAAATTAACGTGGGGAAAAAATTACACACTCAATATTGAATAGCACTCATTGAGAAAAAAAAATTATTCTTTAAAAAGCACTGAATCCCAGAACACAAATAATTGGGTTACGGTTGCAAATTTAAACGTGAAAAAAAAAGGGGGGATGTCCCAGTTCCGGATCTGTTAGGTTGGGTTGGAGGGTAACGAGTAAAGGGGTTGAAAGGTCGCGAATTTTGACAGAGTTCCAACGGAGTAATGACCGCACCTTCGCGACTGTATCGATTCGAGTCCGGATGCTGCCCTAACGGACCGCGAGAGAGGTGTTAAAGAAGGGATGAGACCCCTCGGTAAATCCCGCTTAACGACGCCCCCGAAAAAAAATCGATAACTCTTTCTTCCGATAGCAAAAAAAAAAGAAAATTGATAAGAAAATCACAAAATAAATAAAAATTTGATATTTCTTGGTAAATTTATCTTAACCTTGATTTCTAAAAGACTTGAAAGATTGATTTCATCAATCTTATTTCTTTGCTTTGTTTAATTTTTTTATCCTCATCTAGTTTCAACCAAACTCTTAATAGCACAAACAAAATTATAGATACGTCTTCTTCAAAACTGTCCATCATTTTTCTTTATAAGGAATAAGAAATAAAAATTTTATTTCTACGAAATTAATTGACACCACTTTATTATTTATGAGAGTATTTGGTTTTTTCCTTTTAACCACGGTCATTAGTACTTAGCGGTTCCAATAGTCCAAACGTATGAACAAAACTGACACGACCTTCTCGCATACGTTCCAACAATGGCAATTTACACGGTCGACTACATACCGCGGAACGGTGAATCCCAAATCTCTCAACGCAAAACTGGTTCCGCCATCAATCATCGACGCGATTTTTTGTGCTCGCTTTGTTCTCATTCCTTTTTATTAAAAGTTTCTACAAGCTTACGTCATTTTACGATAAAAAAAAATACTTGTAGATGTTGTCTATTGTTGAAGCGGTTCAAATCGCAGTATATAAACCCCGACGATGGCAAAGATATTTCATCAGTTCCAGGGCTGTTTTTGTACAGTGGACACCAAGATGAAAGTTAGCTTCGTAATTTTGGCAGTTTGTGTCTGCCTAGTTTATGGAGGCAAATATGGAGGAGGTGGTGGAGGAGGAGGAGGAGGCGGTGGTGGATTTGGAGGCGGCGGTGGTCATCATGGAGGAGGATTTGGTGGCCAAGGGGGTGGTGGCCATGGAGGTGGTCTTGGCGGAGGCGGTGGTCTCGGCGGTGGTCACGGCGGTGGTCTTGGCGGTGGTCTTGGTGGAGGCGGTGGTGGCCATGGAGGAGGTGGACATGGAGGTGGCGGCCATGGAGGAGGAGGTTTTGGAGGAAACCAAGGAGGTGGAGGAGGTCATGGAGGAGGATCGGGTGCATGGAGTCAATCCTCAAGTTCTGCTGGATCTTATGGACATGGAGGAGGATAGTAAGTTTTAATTATTTCTTGATAATCGTATTCACCATAAAAAATAACTCCCTTCTTTTACAGTGGAAAGAAATAAACGCTGTGCCCAGAATAAAATACGTTATACAATTACTCACAATACCTCCTTTTACTAACTGTAACTATTTTTGTTAGTTTTTTACAAAAAAATTGAATAAACTGTACTTTTTTGGAAAAAAAACTGTTTTTTACTTCCAAAAACCTTCATTATTAATTATATAATACATATAGCCATAATTGTACTAAGCAACCTAAGTAGTTAAAAATAATAAAGAAGCATTTCAATAAAAACTAGAGTTGAACAAAATGGAGCTAATCACAACACAAATTATTTGTACCCAATTTGTTAAAAAAATTATTAACACATTCTACTCAATGCTATCTTCAGTTAAATTCAATTTCATTCATTAAGTTAAGATTTTTGGGCCCTATAAAGAAATTAATAGATTTTTTTTAAATATCTTGATTTGCAAACTTTAAAAATTCACTCATGCCGCACTTATGGGAATTAAGAGAGGATTTATATATCAAATTAAAGCTTGAAATCTCCTTTTTAATTTGATATAATAATCAATACTTCGTCAATATTAACCTAGTAGATACACTTTGTTTAAGATTACGTTGAAATGAGTGTTAATCAGGAAATATTAATTTCTAACACAAACTTCAGAAATTGGAAAATGGTTTATAGTACAAATTAAACTTTAAAATATTCTTTTTAATTTGATAAAAAAATCGTTTCTTAAAGTGTATTAATAAATTAGTTATAATGTTTTAGAAATGTGTTGATTTTTCAGAGAAGACATATTTTAGTATCATACGCAAACTTTAAAAATTCGCTCCTCCCGTATCTCTGGGAACTAAGAAATGATTTATAAATAAAATTACAGCATAAGATCTTCTTTTTAATTTGGTATGAGAACCATTTTTTAATTAACATTTACCCAGGAGATACAGTCTTTCTTATATTACGCTGAAATGACTATTAATCAAGAAACATTAGTTTCTAACACAAACTTTAGAAAATCGTGCAGATCGCATTTATAGGAATTGGAAAATGGTTTATAGCACAAATTAAACTTTAAAATATTCTTTTTAATTTGATACAAGAATCGTTTCTTAAAGTGTATTAATAAATTAGTTACAATGTTTTAGAAATGTATTGATTTTTAAGGGAAGAAAAATATTAAAATCGTACCCAAACTTTAAAAATTCTTGCCTCCCGTATCTTTAGGAACTAAGAACTGATTTATACATCAAATAAAAGTATGAAATCTTCTTTTTAAATTGGTATAAGAATCGTTTCTTAATTAACATTTATCAAGAAGATATAGTCTTTTTAAGAGGATGAAAATTGCAACATTGAAAATTTTATCAAAACTTCAAATTTTATTTTCTCAAAAACGAAAAGTTATTTTTCAAAATGGGTTGGTTCGTTGGAAAGAGGACACTTTTATTAACACTTTTTGAAATTTTCATACTGATATTCCAAGAACTGGATTTTATACGAATTTTTAAAACTTAATCGGCGAAAACTGCAAAATTCGAAGAAATTGTCGAATATTTCAAAAATTTATTTCTCAAGAACTAAAAGTGATTTTTCAAAACGGCTTGTTGCATTAAAAAGAGGATACTTTAATTAATAATTGGTGATATTTCCACAAGGATCTTTCAAGAAAGTAATTTTGTAGCGAATTTTGAAAATTATTGATGAAAATTGCAACATCGAAAATTGTATCAAAACTTCAAATATTGTTTTTTCAAAAACTAAAAGTTATTTTTCAAAACGTATTGGTTCATTGGAAAAAGGGCACTCTTATCAACACTTTGGGAAATTTTCATGCTCATATTCCAAGAAATGGATTTTATACGATTTTTTAAAGCTTAATCGGAGAAAATTGCAAAATTCGACAAAATTGTCGATCATTTCAAAAATTTATTTCTCAAAAACTAAAAGTGATTTTTCAAAATAGCTTGTTGCATTAAAAAGAGGATGCTTTAATTAATAATTGGTGATATTTCCACAAGGATGCTTCAAGAAATTAATTTTATAGCGAATTTTGAAAATTATCGATGAAAATTGGAACATCGAAAATTTCATCAAACTTCAAATATTGTTTTCTCAAAAACTAAAACTTATTTTTCAAAACGGATTGGTTCATTGGAAAGAGGACACTTTTATTAACAGTTTGGATAATTTTCATACTCATATTGCAAGAAGTGGATTTTATACGAATTTAAAACTAGTAATTGTCGATCATTCTTTTTTTAACCAATCTTTAAAAGCTCCCTCCTCCCGTATCTCGAGGAACTAAGAAACGACTTACACATCAAATTAAACTATGAAATCTTCTCTTTAATTTGATACCATTTCTTATTTAACGTTTATTGACTAGATGTAGTTCTTTTTATAATACATAGTAATGAGTATTAATCAAGAAAAATTAATGTCTAATTCAATTTCAAAAAATCATGCAAATCGCATTTCTGGAAATAGGGAATTTCTTTATAGCACAAATTAAACTTTAAAATATTCGTTTTAATTTGATACAAGAATCGTTTTTTAGATCGTATAAATAAATTAGTTAGAAGTATTTTAGGAATGTATTGATTTATTTAAGGACGGAAAATTTTAATATCGATCCCAAACTTTAAAAGTTCACTCACACCGCATTTGAAGGAACTGACAAACGTATTATACATCTAATTAAAGTTAGAAATCTTTTTAATTTTATCTAACGTTAGAATTACATATTCTTTTTACATGAATGCGAGTCATTATACCTTCTATTAGTGACAATGGGATTTTTTGAAACTCAGCTAATTAACAATGTGAGTTATTTTTAGAGATACGAATTAAATTTAATTTATAATAATTAGAATAAATTTGAATTAGGCTTGATGGAAATGTTATTTTAACGTCATATTAATTCCATGCATGCGGTCTTGGAGACATTGGAAACACTTGAGAAAAAAATTATGTTTTATGTTAACCAAAGTGACTAAAATTTACTTCTTAAAACATTCTGGAAGATGTTTTACAGTTAAAAACACGTATTCTAGCAACCTTTCTTTAAAAAAAAAAAGGAAATGCAGACTAGACGTCGCGTCTTTATTTTTTTCTGTCGTCTTTACAACAACATTCCTTTTTGGTATGATTGACAGTTTAAAAGAAAGCTAACCTTACACAAGATTCTTTCTCGAGATGATCGAACAGGAGGGGGTTACTTTATTATTTCATATTATTATTTTACCTACACATAAAAATAAAGGCGCGACGTCCAGTCTATAGAGAACACACACCAGCACCACAAAAATAATCGCAAAGTGGACCTTTTTCATTTAACTCAATTTCTAAATTAAAAGACATTGAATTTTGGCATAGAATTTGCGATAATGAGAGTAGTTATTTTTTACCCAAGAAGAATAATTGACGAGAATATGACTCATATCTTATGTTTTTTTTTATATCGTCAGCAACTGCTTACGATTTCACCAAAATAAAATCTTAACCTTTCTTTTATTTAAACAGATTCAAAAATTGATAGTTTTATTTATATCGCATTTAGCACATACGAGTTGTTTTTAAGATGGTGATAAATTGTTAAATTTACATTTTGCAAAGACGTCCTAAGCTGGGTATCTTTGTGGCGAGTAAATAAGGAAAGTGTAAATTTGCGTTACATCACAACAATTTATTTTTCGTTTTCACCTTGACACTTGCGGTTTTAAATGGGGCTACCACAATGCTTAATTCACCTCGTGTAACCTCTCTTTTTATTCCAAGATCTATTTTGCATAATTATATGTTTTATTAAAACGGTCTCTTGGCTAAATCAACACCATTTATATGTTTTTTTTTTGTTTAATATTATACTTACTTTTTTTATGAAGTATTGTTTTTAACGATTATAACACAATTGGTATACCTACACAAAGAAATGGAAATAAAATAATAAATAATTCAATTTTTTGTATTTTTTGCCAGTGAGAAATTAATTAAAATTAAAATGAGGCTGAGATTGTTTTTAATTGGTTTTATTGCTACCGTTTATTCAAAACCACTTTCAGATACTGTTGGTGTGGTTTATACAATTAAGATTGTACCAAACGATGTTGTTACAAATTCTTTGGAATTAGCGCCAACAAACAATTTAAAAAAAAATCTCCAACAATCTGCAATTGAGGAATTATTAAAACATATTCTTTTTTGTAATGAAAGGGAAGATGATGACAAAGCAGAGAGCCCAAAGGAGGAGGAAAACTATTTTGATTTCGCAAAGATTTTTAGAGAATCCGTAATGGATGAGTTGCCAAAACATGAGTTTCAAACATTGACTCCAAAATATGAAGAAAATGATTTTAAACATTTAAAGGTTTGGTGAAAGAAATAGATTTAATAGATTTTTAAAATAAATTTTTAACAGAATTTGCAACAATCTGCAATTGATGATGTACTAAAACATGTTCTTCTTAGTAAAATAAATGAGAAAGATGGTGGAATGATAGTTTCAAAAAATGAAGATAAAGATTTTGGTCACATAAAGGTTTTGCAACAATCTGCCATAAATAATGTATTAAAACATGTTCTTGTTGGTGATATAAATGATGATAATGATGAAGGAATACAAGATTCAAAAGATGAAGGAAAAGGATTTGACTTATTAAAGGTTCGATAAAAAGATCAAAAAAATGTGTTATTAATTTATTTATGTTTTTGTAGAAATCAAAATTTATGAGCCGATTGAAAAGAAGAGCAGAAAATTTTCAAAATGATCCACCCACAATAGTAGATATTTTGGGGTACACTCCTTTACGAGATTTTAACGGAAATCTGAATAACCAAGATCAAGGTTTATCCATGCTTGATGAGATTTATCCGCAAATACAGCCAACGACTTTTCAAAAACCGTTCGTTCGAAAACCACAAGTTCCCAATTTACCCATATTTTATAATCGAGCTATCCGACAAAATAATGCAGGGAATCAAAAACCGCAGGTTACTAATTTACCTTTGCTTGATGCACCAGGATTGGGACAATTTTCTTTATTCAATGTTTAATAAAGACCAATAAATAAAAGTAATTTTTGATTATTTTGTCACAACTTTCTTGAATCGCTGATTATAGAAACAATATAGTAATTAGACTCTCTGTAACATTTAACTAACACACTATAGCT